CAGTGCTCAATGTAGCCATAGTCCATCTCAGGTGCACAAGTATATAGCGTTATTATGGTGGGTCAAAACATCGCACAAATAATTTATCTGAAATATTGCTTTCCCAAACGATTCTGCTTGCTCCATATTTCTAAAAATGCTGTATAGAAAACTTTCGGCAAATGTTCTTTACCTTAAATACGCGCAAGTGAGTGGTGTAGCGCATTAACTCTGGAACTACCACGATTAGATGCCAAACCACTTATTTGCCTGTTACACTTTTTTATATAATTTTGTATATTCTGACGTTTAGACTAATAGACATGACTGAGAAAAATAGTTTTTGGAGAGGCATTTATTTATTTATGACAACATACGACCTTCAATATTTTCAAAAATTATTTATTTATTTATCAATAACTATCTTGTCCCCTTTAAAGTAATCCCCCTCAGATAAAATACACTTATGACAGCGTTTTTTCCGATCCTCGAAACACTTCTGAAACGCGTTTTTCGGTATCACCAATAGCTAATGTTTCGATTTTTCTTTTATCTCTTCAATCGTAGCAAAACGCTTTTCTTTGATCGGTATCTTCGGTTTTAGGAAGATGAAAAAGTCGGCAGCCAAGCCTGGTGAATACAGTGTTTAAGGCATGATAACGAATTTGTTTTTGTCCGAAAACTTACACACATGCATCGATATGTGAGCTGGTGCGTTATCATGGTGCAAAATCCATGACAGTTTTTTCCACAATTCTGTGCGTTTCTGAAGAATTTCTTCGCGCACATGGCGCATAACTTCTATGTAGTATTCCTTTTTGACCGTACGGAACTTCTGCCAAGAATTTATGATGCAAAAAAATCATTTTCTTCACTGCTGCAATGTTTTCATCGGTTGTTGACGTGCTCGGTCGACCAGGACAAGCGTTGTCATTGACATCTTCTCCGCCTTCCTTAAACCGAGTTTTCTAATAGGGGGCTCTATTATTATTATTTCGCATCGTGTTCATCTGTGGCTATATTCATTTCAAAGGTACTGTCATTTCGCGTTGTTTTCAGTAGTTGGCATTTGAAGCGTGAACAGCAATTTGTTTCATTCATTTGAAAATGTCGAAATTTGTACCAGATAAAGTGTTTTTGCGGGGAGTGCTTCTTCAATACTTTAACATGAACAAAAATGCTACCGAAAGCCATAGTAATTTAACTGGATGTTTATGGTGACCATGCTTTAGCCGAACGAACGTGCCAAAAGTGGTTTGCACGGTTTAAATGTGCCAATAACGACTTAGACGACGGATAGCCAAAAAAATTTCAAGACGAAGAATTGAATAGATTGCTCGATGCAGATACATGCCAGACTCAAGAAGTATTAAAAATTTATCTAGTAACCATTTTCAGACGATGAAAATCATATTTTCACAATAAAGTCTTAAATTTCGAAAAAAACCGCACGAATTAATGCTACGCAACGTTACATACATACATTTTTTCCAAATTGGTGGGGTGTGTGCCATGCATTTTGCACACACTATTTTTTTGAATTTTAAACAAGTTTTGCTAGTTTCATTGCAATTACGAGAAATTCGGCAGTATTTTTGTTTTAATGTCGTATTAGGAGGACTGGAAACACTGAAAGATGCTACTTATGCGTTCTCAATCTAGCTTCTAAGCTCATTGGTTAATTGATATTAAAAAAATGTTTACCTCAAATTGCTGACCAGTTGCATCCTTATACAAAATCCATGCTTTTAGTCGAGCAAGGTCCAATATATTAAGGAAATCGTGTATTGCCATTTGGTCATCCATATCCACACCATATTTTATTTTATTATAATATAAAATCGTTTTCGGAAGGCATTTCCCTCTAATTTCTATTTATAAAACTAAGTGCATTGAACTTAAAAGCAGAACTTTTTGCCAGGTTTTTCATACGTGTATATACATATATAGTCAGTATACAGTTATCTTTTTTCCCCTTAACGATTGCAGACAATTCTAGTCTACTATTTCGAGATGTTCCAACCAATGTAGCCCGTTTTTTCTAATTTTCGGTTGCCAATGTTTTCCTAGTAAAGAAGTTATCCGTAGTAATATTTTTGCCTTTTCCAATATAAGGTTCCATAAGTTTTAAAATAATTTACTGAGAAAGTGGTACATACGATGGTCGTATTTCATCTTTCCCTAAATAGGTGTACCCATTAACCAAATATTTGGAATCAATATCTGCTTCACCATGCGCATATAAAATGCCAATGCTTAAGCTTTCGGGCATAGTATTGTATGATCGGTCATTGAATTACTGCAATCTATCCGAAACGCACTACTTACTTCATCAATAATAATACTACGTTTCACTAAACACATTTATGGTGTTGGCTATGCCGCAATATGTCTGATAAGCTTGAAATTGTTTCCAAATATAATAGTCATCTGTTGCTACGATTTCAGATTCTTAGAAAATGTTTTCCTCTATTTCATCTTCTTCTTCTATTTCTGATGCTTCCTCTGACTCATCGTCATTTCCCTCATGCTCTGAGAATTCACTCAATACTTCGATATTATAGAGATTTGAATTTTCATTGTCAATTTCTCGCGGCCATTCCAGAATTTTTTCATCTCGTGTCGACATTAACACTTAACTGCCATAAATATATACATATAATAATTATAATTAATAGTAATAAATAAATAAATTTCCTCACCTTTCATATTAATTTTAAACCTTTATACATTAATGCAGTCGAACTTATCTATAACTCGAATTCTAATGAGTTTTCAATCTCCCCAAACGAATTTTATTTTGATTTCTGTTTCTTACCAAATTCAACCAGTATTGCTTACGCACTAGAAGGTATACCACATAAGTACTTTCAAAATGACACCGTGGAGAAAATTTTATTTTCCAAACTTACTTTACACTTACGCGATTATAGCCGATTTAACGAAATTGCGCCATTCGTTTCTTTTTTTTTTGCTGTTTGGCGTCAATTGGAAATACCAAGTACAGTGACGTCCTTCTTTACCTGGCCCTTCCAACGGAGTGGAGGTATTCCTCTTCCTCTGCTTCCACCGGCGAAAACTTTCAAAGCTGGAGTATGCGCTTCCATCCAGGCCACATGACCTAGCTAGCGTAGCCGCTGCTACTTGATTCGTACAGCTCATAGTTCCAACGTCTGCGATACTCGTCGTTACCAATGCCGATTATTCTTCAAAAATCTCCTATTTTATTGATTTCAGGATAAGTCACAAAGTTCGAACTAGCCAGTGATACTGTAAATGAAAATATGACATAATTTATACCGAAAACTGTCATTTGACCCATTCTGGTAGATCGAGTATCAAAAAGCGCTCTTGTCGTGGTAGAAGACTTAGCTTGCTTTGGTTGGCCACGGAAGTTCTCAACTAGAGTTAGCATTGCTCAAGAGAAAGAAATGGTGCCTGTAAATTGTAATTTAAGTTCCAAAGAGTTGTATGTTGTTTGTTTTGCCGCGCGAATAATTCCAATAAACTGTGAATTTTTTCAAAAATTAAATCGGTTCGTTGGACGCTGAAGACACTCAAATATGTACGTGTACTATCGCCAAGCCTTCAAAAGAAAATTCGAAATTAAGAATTATATAAAAATTTGCATTTGTATTTATTAACCGACAAAAAAGAATGTCTTCAATTGTTATGGTAATTTTTCATGGTATAGCGTGAAATTGCTCTAATAAAAAGTTAAAAATATTTAACAAAGGTGTAAAATGAGGAAATTTTTCACTGTTTTTAATGTATGGCATATCTCTCTACTATGTTAAGCGATTTTGATATGACTAAGGTATACTTTGATGTTAGTCTCTTATAAAAGTCAGGAAGAAATATTGTAACCGTAATGGGAGTAAAAGTGGGATGTTTTACTTATCTAAACGCAAGGTCACGCATAACTCCATTCCATGAAGTCCGATTAGAATAATATATCTTTTATGAGAGGGCATGCTTCGATATTTTGGCACTTACACATATTAATGTTGAGTTGTGGGTTACATAATAGTAGTAGTAATTAGTAGATTAGAGCCACAAAACAAAATTTTAAATCAATTGAATCTCCTACAGAACCAAAAGGCAAATTATAGTGAGTAGTATGCCGGTTGAATTTTGAGAAAAACGCGATATGCCGCACATTCATGAAGTTAATGTCAGCGATTACAAGCTTGCAAGTGGGAAAGCACGTCGAGTTTTCACTGTTTACTTGGCGCTTAATCAATATTAATCAGGTAAACTTGCATTAGCTTAACAAATTGGATTTTTTTATAATTTTTTCTTTTGAGTTCTCTAAAGGTTAATATTTTTTTTTTATTTTTCACAAATCTATGTTTATTTTCTTGACATGATTCTTATGTTAAAATAAGACTACTCAACTATGGTAATTGATGTTGGCAAAATATTTTATTGAATATTCAGAAAGAAAGCCCGTCCAACCAAAATTTAAGCCATCTGGTTCATCTCAAGGCAGGCTTCTGGGATAAAAATGGTGGCTTTCTCACAACATCTGTAGGAATATAAAAGTCAAGCAATGAGAAATGAGTTTGATGGGAGGTGAATTTATTTAATTTATATTCTTCCGCGAACACTGAAGTATTTAAGTGATTTTTTGGCACCGAAAATATTGATTTATTTCATTGTTTTGGAAGAAATTCTTCTTAAAAAAAACCGTTCAAATGGTCAACTTTTCAATGGTGGGAGGTTTGATATTGACACTGTGGTCTAGTTATTAAGCAGATATGTTCCATTTGAGGAAAGGCTTGCTTTTAGAAGCTTCGCTGCCCTTTAGCCAGATAGGATGTATCATATATTGCGCAAGTATCTCAGTACCACAAGAACAAACTATTGATTTTACGCACACAATTAAACTTTAGATGTTTGCGTTTTATCGCTTCCTTGGCAGACTGCAAGTCAGTATTTTACGCAATATCAACACACGCACAAGTACAAAATAAATAAATAAGTTAACAATACAACATTACGAAATTGTACCATTACAGGGACAAGCAGAGAGTAAAAAGCATTCGAAGAAACATGGCGGCGCCAACAACGCCACAGCCGGCACTGGGTTGGGCACGATAGAGACCAAAGGCACAGCAATGTCCTTCGGCTTTCGCAAGAAACTCAATACAACACCGAAGAAATTCAAGAAATTGCTGGAAGCCAGTGTGGGTGGTGTGACAGGCGGTGACGCAAAAAAGAAGCAAGACAAGTGCAACAATATGACAACAACAGAAACACGAGATGGTAATACAACCAGCGAGGATAGTGATGAAAAACGAGGAATTGCGTTCAACGGAGCTGACAATATGCACGTGCAACAACAACAACAACAACAACACCAACAACAACAACAACAACACCAAGACGAGCAGGACAACAATGGCAACGCAGGTGAGTGAGAGTGCAATGACATGGTGTGGCAATGCAAGAAAATGTATACAAAATGTTTTTATTTATAGATATTGAATGTAAATATGTGTACATATATACCCATTAACATATACCATGTAATAGGTTAACTGTTTATTTACTTTTAAGTTCAACGCGGTTCGCACCAACCAAATCGACTGAGAAATTATTTATTGGACACAACAGGTGTTTTGGGTGTGTAAAAGACACCGTTATACACCTTAACGCAAAAATTTTGCATGTCACCCCCACCCTGCACCACCACACATATGCGCACACTCCCGACATCCACACATACGATGCAAGCATGAATTTATTATTTTCCTTTCGGTCGCTGCTAATTACTTTACATTTTACATTTGCTGGCTTATGATTGTCTGACACGCCAAAACAACTTGCTCCTTTTTGACTTCTTCCCGCCCTCCTTCTCTTCTCTTATTCTCTTTTCTCCACCACCAATGCGTGCTCTAACATGCAATCACTCAACATAATGGCAGAGCTTTTGGCGAAGGTACACTTTGAGAAAATGGGCGCGGCGGCAGCAACAACACAGCGGCACTCCAATCAAGCTGCCGTGGCTGGCGGTGGCGGCCATTCAGGGAATTTGCCTGGCGTTGCTTCGCGTTTTGGTTTTCGCGGTGCGAATTTGGTACGTCCGGCATCAGCTGGTATAACGCAGCGAAGCTATCAAATGGAGCTGCAGGAAAATACGGAAAACAACAACAACAAAGGGGGAAACAATGCAACCGACCAAAGAAGTGGTGGCAGCGGTGTGTGCGGCACTAATGGACAACAAAAACCGCTTGTGAGCAATTGTAAGTGAGCGCAGCAGTGCAATAGTGTAAGGTGGTATTTTGGTATTGGAATTGTGGTTCAAGTGTAAGGTGGCTCGTTAGTGGCTTAGGGGACAATCAAGTAAGTAGTAGAGGCGGTTTTTACAACTACGCAATGAGCGAAAAGTCGGATGTCTAAGAAATGGATGGAGAGGTCAAATTAAAACTAGGAATAAAACTGATTTCGCAAACGGTAAATAGAGTGGGAAAATTTGACTTTTCATTTTTGGTATAGGAGACAGGTGTAAACTGAACTTTGAATTATTATGAAAAATTTTCTGACCCTAAGGTTCTTTTCCAACTACAAGGTTATATTCCGGTTGGGCTATGCAAACAGAAATAGTGGTTGAAAAACATCTCCTATTATTCGCATGTCTTCTCTTTAGGATCCTCTTTGAATTTCCTACTTTTTTGAATAGGTTAGGAATTAGCTTGTTCGTACCTTGTCTCTCCTGAAGAAATCTACGATGACCCAGCACGATGTCACAGTTGGTCATGATTAAAACCACGGTTTTTATTACTGTATGTAGTCACTGTCACTGAACATGATGATACCTTTTTCGAAGTATCTAGTTCGATATATTTAATAGCTTTTTTTCCCCTGTCCATACCATAGCTGTCTGGACACTGCTGTCATGCCAGTTTTAGCACATGTTTCGACTTGGAGTAGGGTTAACCTGCATCGCGAGCATGTTTTATTGTGGATTTACAAATTCGTGGAATTGCCTGGGATGTCACTGTAGCCGTATATCCAGTCCACGGCTTTTAGTCAAGTGTTTGTTCAGATTGTTTCTACATTTTACATCCACTTTTGATGTGATACTGTTACATTGCTGAGATCTGAAGGCAGTTTGACTGCGGAAATACATCCTATATGATTGTAATTTTGAGCAGCCCCTCGGGGAATTCAATAGTTACAAAGTGATCTAAAGGTTTTGACTATACGTCTAATTTCTACTATTGTGAAAAATATATTTACTCTAGTCACCGAGTGGGATATTTTAGATGTTATCTATGACCAAAAGAATAAAGCTGCTCTGTAATGCCACGAATTTCACTTCACTATTCCCTGCATCAGGTATTTATCAACTAATTTCTTAGCTTCACTGCAGAGTTATCGTATGATCGGCTTGTGTGTGGAGCAGACCTGGAAGAGGGTCGTTAGAATTTGGTTATAAAGCTAAATGAAATTTTTGCGGCCATGATTTTCGCGCAGAGACTGATGGAAAGCGCCATTTTGTGGCCGTCATTTTGATCTCCGACTATTTTTGCCCTTTTAAAATTTCAAATGAGACACAAATTCAATAGTCAAATCCGAAAGTTCGTACTAATTTTCATTGTCCCACATAAGAAGAAATACAAACTTTGCCTGACTTTGCCCAATGTCGGGGTAGGGTCCCCTTAATCTAATTCACAACTGATGGGTAATCACAATAAGTTTTTTTTGTCAGCAATTTTGAATGTTGGTCAGGATTGGAGCACACGAATTACCGCATGGAAGCACGCACTCTTAACCATAAATGTTTTCACACTGGTATTTTTGTACCAGGAACAAGTCTAGTTACAAAGTATAGACTCAATTCTCTAGTTCATTTGCTTGAAAGTTGCTTCAATACAATCACTTCTTCTTAACCTTAATTCTCCTCAGTGTCTTCTGGCAAATCATGCACTATCTACTATCTACCAATTTGTGATTTGCAAAGTTCCCTCCACTTCAATGGCAGCGGCAAATATCAAACGAGAAGAAAATACTCATTCACTTATGATTTGCTTTCTATGGCAGAAATAGTATGCGGCACAAAGAAAAGAGAGCAAAAAAATTGTCAATTTGGAATTACATGACTATTTACTCAGTCGCATTTCCACCATATGGAATTGTTTATATGTAGATACATATGTGATTGCCAGCGAATCGATTAGTTTTTAATGCCTCTATCGCCCTCTCCTTACCGCTTACCGTCACAGGTCGGTAAGCAAAGTCTTTCCATTCACTTTGCTGTCTTTGTCGGTTTTGGTGACGGTGAGATGGTGTGACAAGTCCGTGAACTCAATTAAAAAGCAATTGGCGGGCCATCGGCAGCGAACGCAGAACGAGAGTGCAGCGCGGCAATCAGTTGTGATTGTGTTGCAAGGTCTGTTTGTTGCAAGAGTGTGGCGAATGTCGTTGCTCGGCACAAATCGTGCAGTGTGTTACTTTCAATTTGGGCTAAAGGCCAATAAAAATACAAAAATTACAATTCAAAAAGTTACAAAGTAATACAAATGTAAATAAAAATGAAATAAATGAGCAAATGCGAATGTGCAATGGAAATAAGATCCGTCACTATTCGCTCGCCGCACTTTTGAATAAATGAAAACTAATTTACACACACACACGCACACTTTCTCTGCAGTGAAGCGCCGCTCGAAGAGTGCACACGCCGGTCGGGCATTGACATCGGGCGATGAGACCAGCGAGTCGGGCAGTTGCAGCGACGCGAACGGCCGCCCAAAAATAACACAGCCGAAATCGATAACGTTTAATTTGAGTCAGAACAGCACAATCGAATATCAGCGGCGACAATTTTTCGAGCAGCCCAGCACTGCATACGGCAGCTATGGCAGTGGACGCGCCAGTACCACCAGTTGGACACACCAGCCAGCGCATCAGTCGCGTAGCGTCATCAATACGGGCATGCACACAAATGTTATGTGAGTAAATAAGAAAAAGTAATTGAAAGGTTTATTTCATTTTAACTTTTAACTTCATCCCGTGATCTTTTAACAGTGTCCGTCCCACGCCACGTGCACCACCAGCCAGTTTCTCAAAGTTCACTCTACACACCGTGAGTTTGCCCAAGCCTGAGTTTCCAGTGGCCATTAGTGTGGGTGCCACAACACCAACTACACCAGGTAGCAGCATCTACACACCATCACCTACCATGACCACTAATTTGTTGGGTGGAGCACGTGCCAAGGAGAACCAGCAGCAGCAACATCCTCTGACAGTGGTGGCCTCTGCCACTGTATCGCATACAGCACTCGGACATATTGATCTGAAGACGGCCAAGCAGATGGCTAACAATACTCGTCGTGGCTTCTCGGGTAGTCGTGAGATCTCTGCTGATTCGGGTATCGCCAGTATGGACATGGCGCTGGATAGCTCAGTTTCTAGCGGTGGTGGTGGCAGTCGCGCTGGACGCACAGCCTCACCCAAGCGCAGCCGCAGTCGTCCGCGCAATCTGCAAATGGTCATGAATGGGCGCCACAAATTCGAAGTGCGCGATCTGGATGATCCGTTGTCAAGTGAGTCAAGCTCTATTGTAGAGCCGTTAGCCTTACCAAAGTTACCGACTGAGAATCAGACTGCACCACTGCCTCTCTGCGGCTTGGTGCGTTCAAATACTGTGCTCAGCCGGGAGAGCTATGAGCGACAGAGAACTGAGGCCGGCGCAAATCAGAGTTCAAAAGCGGTTGATGCGGGTTAGTTTGGAAATGCTTTTGTGTTCTTTAATTTGAATCTAAATATCATCTACTACACAGCTAAGCCACGTCCTACCACTGCGCCTGCTCAGTGTACTATAACACGGAACTCATCGGAAGAAAGTGAAGGCGTGGATGAGGAAAAACTTTACTTGGATCGTTCCACTTCGGAGAAGGGCAGCAGGGTTAGTGACATCCAAATCAAATGAGATTTTCACAACTATTTAAGTTTCTTTTGCAGTTCAAGGACATAAACACATGCTCGAGCAAAACATCTTCGCCCGGTAGCTCCATAATGCTCTCATGGTGTAATGCTGGCGAATCTCTAGCCGTGAAAGACTGCAGCAGTCTCAGCATTAGCAGCGAAGATAGCAACAAACTCCTTGAGAATAGGCAGCATGATAAGGACATAGACACGGAAAAGAATGAACTGTTTAAGGCTAAGCAAATGTCGGTCGATTTGAATGACGACGATATTAGTGGACTTGTTACTGAAATGCAAACAAGCACTTTATGTAAGCGATCTAACCACTACTGTCGCCAGTGTTTTAATGAACCTCCTCTTCTTCTCATTCCCACAGCCTCCTTGACAGAAAACTTGCCGAACACAAACAATATTCTCCTACCAAACATATATACAACGCTACAAAACAAAGCTGACAACGCAACCTTCCCTGAAAACTCCACTGACGATAAACCCGAACGTCCGAAATCGTTCTACAACTCCCTGAATGAAACGAAATTCGCCGAAATGGCCTTAGCAGGCAGCACTTACTTATTGGACGACGAGACCTCACCCACAGACAGCTTGGTGAGCAGCACGGAGTCTGAGGAGGCGGCCAGCAAGCAGAAAAAGCACAAAATGAATGAAGAATTGCAAGAGAAAGACATCGATGAGATTTCACCCGAACTCGAAATGGGCAGTCCCATTTCACCGGGCACACCCACACACGCCTCACACTCACTATCACTTTCAGATTGCGGTAACTTGATTGATGATGAGATTGCCGACCAACCGGCGCTACTATTCAACAGCGAAGCACATGATCTGGTCGATAGTTTAGCTTCACACAAGGATAAGACAGATACGCCTACGCTAATGGAAAACACTGGTTCGTTGCGTTCGCTAAAGAGTCAGTCGAAGGCGCGCAGTGCTCTGCAGCAAGCAATTGAGTTGAGCTTGCGTACGCCACTCTCGCTACGTAAGGCCGTAATGGAGCGTGCAGATTCGCTTGATACACTCTCGCCGTGTGAGTCGATTTGTTCAGACGATCTCATGATGGACTTCGATATACACAGCAGTGTGGACTCAATCGATCGGTAAGTCGCATGAGTTTGTCTAAAACTATATAATTTATTAAATAACATATTTTTGTCACCAAGATCTAGTTCGATTAAAAGTCGCAGTGGTTCCGACCTACATAAAATTGGCGACACTGAATTATTTTCGGAGCTGGAACGTAAGGGTAGTGATGTTATGAAAGAACTGAATTCGATTTTACGCATGCGCAACAACCGAAGCGCCGAAAAGGATACAGTCACGTGAGTCGCAAATGTTACTTTTATTTTTAACGAAGCAGGGAATTTTTTGGAGGGTGAAAAGTTTTCGAAATTGCTGCCATTTTTTTTAATTATGATATTATAAGGTTGAGTAAAGATCCAGCAGATATTGAGATAACTTGGATAGAAGCTTCATTTTTATTGAGGATATTATTAACTTAAAAAGAATCTGAAATCTATTTACAGCGGAATATTCTATTTGTGAACTAATATGCTATTACTTTGCATTTGGAAAACAAGTGGCTTGTTTTCTTTCCCATTCTTTGCTATGTGGGCAACTATTGCTCTTGGTATGTCGGCGTCCTACGAAATGCCAATTGTCCGAAACTTCATTAGCTTTATACCAGTTAAATACTAGTCCACTTATGCGTGTTGAATTTTAACTTACCAGAAGTAAAACCAAAGATTTGCCTTCAGCGAGATATGAGAACCTGAATGTCATGATGATATCTGCAAAGCCCTATGATCTCATTGTAACGGGAAAAGTCAGCAATAGTGTGTTCCATATACCAATTTCATGTTGGCGGTGGTTGTTGGTGCTTTCCTTTAGTGGTGGTTTGCAAATAAATTGTGAACTTCAATTGCTTCACCTCTTAAACATATGTATGTATATCTTTAAGTATTTATGATGGAATTTAAGAATTTCAATTCCATTTCTCCATGGAAATTTTACGTTTTAACGTCATATAAATTTAATACGTCATATTTTGCACTAATTGTTTCCATTCCTTTTTACCTACTTCCTTTTCCTTTATCTATTTCTCTTTTGGCATGCAACATTCGCTGCCGCATTGTGAATTTACTCTTGAGAAATTTACTTGCCAGTAAAATATGCATTGCAACACTTATTTCCTTTATGTGACTGCGCTTTGGTAAACTTTGCGGTCTTTAAATGTAGACACTTGCTGTATTTACCGTTGTGACAGAAAAATCGATGTTAATAATGCATGTGTCCACTGGCGTATTGCCAACTTGACAACCGTTTGGAAGTTTATGAAGTTTGCTTGTTTTTTGCTCGACTAAGTGCATTCGCATGTTCAATAACATGTATAGACACACAGCTATGGAGAAGGGGTATATAAATACATATGTGAAAGTAGATTATAACGATGAAGAAGAAGGGGTGTGAAGTGAAATGGTAAATTAGTTAAAATATATTTTGGATTTTTACTGTTGAAATTCTCAAAAATGCCGAGAGTGGTTTTATATTCTTAGTAAAGATTTCAGAAAAAAGAAACTTCTGATGATTTTATTTTTCTATTTATTATATTACAATTGGACCGATTGATGTAGGACTTAAAATATAATATATAATATCGTTTGAGAAATATAAATTTTTACAAAGAAAGTGTCTGTCGCCTAAAAGTATGCTTTGAGCTTGAACTGAGTTAGGAATTCCGTCATGGTAAATAGTTATGGGTTTATGGAGATAGAAGTATGAATTGATTGAACGTCGTTAATCGATTACTTTTTTTGAGATTAAAACATTTTTTTTTTACACTAAGTTAGTGAATTTTTTTTTTTTTTACAAAAAACTGCATGCTTTTACATAAAATAAGATCTGATAAATTTTTTGAATATTAACACTTTAGAATTATATACACTATATGTAAAGTTACAGAGTGTGCTGTCATTTAGTCTTAAGAATTATTTTTTTTAAGTTTTTTTTTTTTGCATTAGCGTAGCGGTAGAGAAAGTAATAAAATTAGAATAAATAGGAATAAAAACATGTGATTAATTCAAAATTTTCCGGTCGTGGAAACCTGGATAAAACTAAAGCAACTCAAAAAACAACAGTCTTCTTTCAAATTGTAAATATAAACCGATTTAATTTCACAAAATAAATTTGCGAAGCGAAAATTTTTCCAAGTTGCATCGAGCTCCATGCGAAGATGTTGTGAAAGTCTGAACATACATGCATTTATTTATTTATTTATTACAATCACTACGACAGACACAAAATCCTTTCCCTTGTCTTTCTCTCTTAAAATGAGGTTCAAAAATAAAAAAAAAGTGAATCAACGTTACTAAACGAAACCTAATCCTCCGAAGTACACTTTCTCTTACATTTGCAATTTATTTCGTGATTACAATGGAAACTCATTTACAAATTTTAGCTGGAAATAAATACAATTTATGTAATTAAAATATTACTGATGGTAACGAAAACGTTTTCGGATATTACTGTAAAATATGTTTACACTTATATATAAACTTAAGTTTCCCAGCTATCAGCGTGGCAGCTTTTCAAAAAAGAATATATATGAAATTATTTTTATTTCATTGGGAGACATAAATAAAAATTTAAACATGACAAATTGCTGCATTGTTGTAGGGCTATCTCTACGTTGTTGTGGAAGATTTTCTCACAAACTATCTTACAATTTTTAAATGTTACAATATCTTAGCTTGCAGATAGACATAATTAAATTTTACATCACACTAAGCAGTGAAAAATGTCTTTTGGTGGCAAAATATTCGTGCCTTTTCTTCAAAGAAGGAACCCTGTAGGAAAACTAGTTAGCATAAAATATTAAAATCCGTTCTGATATTTCAAAATACTGACTTTTTATTAAAATACTTTTTACCTTGACTGTTGTACTACAATACTTGAGTCACGTCATAGCTTAATTATTCGCCAGAAGTTAACATTATTTCAATTACTTGTCGATGTCAACAGCTTATACTTCTGCTTATAAGAAAAATGAAACTTAAACCGGAGAAGCTCAACGTTTCGTTTCGGCGCCATGTTATCGAAACGAAATACAATTGCTAATTTTGACATCGCCCAAGCTCATCAATTGCTGCTTGCTATGTTATTAGCAGCGCACCTCAATTCCAACGTTTAACATTGTCTGTAAACGATTTAACATTAACGACAGCATCTTAACATTGACGACAGCATCTTAACATTAACGATAGCATCTTAAGTTTATCTGTTAAAGATTAAACATTAACGACAGCAGTTTGCCTGGGATAAAATCGAAATAAAAGTCATTTTAATAACTGCTTTAGCGATAACATTTACAAATGTTTCAAGCGATTCGATTCAAATTTTTTGATTAATGGGAAATTTGTCGTTACGATGCTAAACATTTATTTTTAAGTATACTTCCTCAATTCCTTCTTACTTTCCTTTGAGGTCTACCACAATCAAAAATACAAAGCAAAAATGAAATAATAAAAAACATATTTATATGTACACGTATATATGTATAAAATGTAATTGTTTCATGCCGGTGGGAAAATCAGAAAAAATCCGAACATAATTATCCGCGACCACGACAACTAGTAAATGGGAAATGGGATTGGCGTAAAAAAGAGGCAAAGCAAAATTACACCCACTGAAAGAGATGAGAAAATTGCTAAAACAACAACAATAAATGTAAGAAAATCAAAACTAAAGAATATGATAAAAGTTGTAGATAATTTCAACGGCATGTTACAAACACACATACTCGTATATACATACATACATACACTCACAAAAAAGGTTAAGAAATATATGTATGCCATATTATCGTGTAACCAACAATGTTTGCCTGCAGGTGACCGCTGTGGGGTTAAGCAACAGCAAATAAACGGCATGCAACGGCAACACAATTGTAACAGTAATAATGTGTAGATACAATGCAGACAGACAGACATACATATACAATACATATATACTCATACAGATGGCAACATTCACAAACGACCTTTCACGAAATTTAACAAATCGACAGAGATACCAAACAAATACAATGAAAGCGCATAGCAGCTAAAGCGGTGAAGGCAAATGACAAAATCTGCTACAGCGAGAACAACAATAATAACAACAACCACACAACAATAGTGCTAACCTCATGCAACAGCGCTGACGGCCAGCGGCGAGAGTGAGCCAGCTCAACCCCTTCAGCACGTCTAGCCGTTCAACCGCAAAACTTTTTGCCTGCTAAAGGCCATTCCAACAACAATAGCAACAACGGCAAACATATTTGGCAATCACCGAATTACAATTGCGCTTCGAATTGCTTAAAAGTTTAATGCGCTTCGGTTGGTGCATTAGGATGTTACAAAAATTGATTTTAAAAAAATATATATATATTTATTCAGGCAAACGTTAGCAAAGTGACTTTTTAAAATTCTTTATAAGAAAACAATATAAATATAAGTAAATAAATAGTTTTACGCTATTCTGTACCTTAGCGCTGCTGATTTTTGAATGTTCGGAAAGTATTTAAATATATTGTATGTTTTTTTAGTTTTTCTTCTGAATTTTGCATAAAATTGTACATTGCGTATATCGAGTGTTCGTTATCGAGAATATTCAAACAGAATCTTCTAGAAGATAAATGCGAGCAATACATAGAGAAGCGCGAAAAGCTGGGGTATTCAGTTAGGTTTGCAACTGGGAAGTAGCAACGTCAGGGAAGCGGTGTAAACTTTTTACATAGACGTGCTAGGTTCGCATAGTAAGCCGTGGTATATAGTAAATCGCATTGTTATCTATTAAGTATAAATAAACATTGATTCAGTTTTTTTTAATGAGAAATCGTTAAACAAATCTTGAAATTATTATTTAACAATCCAGTGATTGAACTGAAAGGATTTGAGAAATCACCAGACTTAGCTAGCGAAAATTATTACAGTATATTTAACTTTTTTAATAAAACAACATATTTTATACTCAAAAATATTTTTGAAAAGTGGTTCAAATTTATTACTAAAAAACAATAGTCAATAAATGAGCTTTACTTTAACGACAGCTTCAAAATAAATAAAATCAAATATTCAAAAATGCTTATTTTCCTCCTGATGGGTGTAAATTTGCCAGTTAGAGAAACATATTTTTGGTAGAAAAAAATCTTATTACCTTAAAGAAATTTTTGAAATATTTTTGATATTTACTTTCAATACTGAAAATAATATATATATAAATTTAATTGCCGCTTTGTAATCGCTGAAGCGATTTTCGGCCTTACTCCTACTCCACAAAAATA